ACCCCTGGGGCAGCCCGGGGTCAGGAGGGCAATGTGCTTGAGAGATGGCAGCGCAGGGCCCCCCCAACTACACGTTCACAAAGAAGCCGCTGGACTAATGCTGGGGACCCTCAACGACCCTGGAGAAGGGAGTCCCAGAGGGGCCCCAAAGGGGTGGGGCTGTGGCAGAACCAGAGACAAGGAGGGAAGGGGAGAGGCAGGGAGGGGGGATGGTGGAGGGAGGGGAAGCTTTCCTATAAGCCCAGGTGTGGGCAGGTGCACCAGCTCTTCCCTTTCCTGTGAGAACCAGTGGCCACGACGCCCTGGTCCAGAGACGCCTGGCCTGGACATGTCCATGGCCCTGCCCTCTCCCCCAGCGGGCCAGCTGTGGACACAGATCCACAGCCTGCCGGCTGAAACGGAAAAGAAGCAGTCCGGGACTGCCGTGCTGGGCTGCAGGCCGCTCCCGGGCCAGGCACGTGCCGGGCGAGCCGCGGGGCCCAGGTGACCCGGAGAAGCACAGCTCTCAAAGAGCACTCCATGTCTCCCATTCAGGAGCCCAGGCCCCCCACGACCTGCTTCGTGCCGTCTCGGCGTCTCCCCAGCCCCCCTCCCGCGTTTCTTCCGGAGCAAGTCTGAGTGCCTGTCGACTGCTCTTTCTCTCGGAGAACCTTCTGAGGCTCCGTTTCTGCAGACGAGGAAACCGAGGGCCAGGGAAACAGATTTCTGCCGCGTGGGCTCAGGTGCTCATCACTGACGTTCCTTTAAAAACAGGACCGAGGCTCTGAGCTGTGCACAGAGCCACGGGTCGGGCCCAGGACCGAAAGCGCGGCCCTCCCTGCAGAGCGGCCTGCCCAGTGGGTTCCGCAAAACGAGCTAACAAAGGGGGGAAACGCCAGCCCCAGGGACAGGAAGCCGGGGCTTTCTGATTAGGCTGGAAGTTTCTTTGTGAGCCCGAGCAGGGTGCAGTCGGAGACTGGAAGGCTCCTAAAACAAACAACGGCAGGCTCTCTCGCTCCGCTCGCACCTTTTATCTCCAAAGCCGCAAGTATGCTAAAAATTTCCCCTCGTCCTCACGAGGTCGCAGCCTGCTGGCAGCCTGCTTTCAGAAGCGTGAGAAGGCCAGGCCAGCAGCTCTGAGGCCCCAACACAAGGCTCTGAGGAACGCCAATGCCACTTGTAGTGTGGCGTGTGGCTGGGGGGCTGGGGGGCCCCAGCTCCGGTTTCTAGTCTGTCCACCTGCCCCGGGCCTGGCTTCGGAGACCCGTGACCTCCCGCATTCGGTGGGGGCCCTTCACGGCTGCAGCAGCGACACGGGAGGGGTTTTTAATGCAACCGTTTTGAAAGGGACCACGGGGGTCCACGCGGGGGGCTGCGGGGCTCCCCTGCCCTGGTCTCGGGGAGGTCAGATCTGTGGGCCACCAAGGGTTCTACGGTGTGATCCCCCATAAATTCCTAGTCCGACGGGTCCCGGTGGGCAGTCACACCCCCAGTGCATGGCTTCTGAAAGGTCTGCCTTTGCCTGAAGCCAGCGGAGTCCACGGTTTCTGTGCGTCTGGGTGAAGGGCCTTTGAGATGAGCCGTAACGGCCCTCAAGAGGGGGCTGGGAATCTTCAGAACCCTAATGCCCCTGCCATTCAGCCTGGCCTTGCTTTCTCCCACCTCCCTGTGACCTTCCTCAGGGTCCTCCTTGACTTCCAAACGTATAAAAGCAGCAGCAAACAGTCCTGGTGAAGAAGCACTTGGCTCGGTCTATTGAGATCTTGCTTCCAGGCGTGTCTTTAGTTTGGCTCCGATAAGTTTTTATCGAAGTTCAGTAGGTTTTTATCCAAGTTTGGGACAGGTCTGGACGTCCCAGAGGGGCCCATGCAGGCCTCGGCAGGTGTGGAACCAGAGCCTCTGGGTGCCCTGGCCAGGGACGGGCGGTGCACGCCGGTCTGGAAGCCTGGCCGTCACGGACGCTGGCTGACAGTGCTCTGACCCAGGGACTGCCCCGACACACCGACCGGAGCCCTGGTCAAACCTCAAAGGTGACACCAAGGAAGGCACTGGAGGGGTTGTTTGGGAATGGACATGGGCGTTCCCCCGGGGCAGTGAGGACGGAGACCCCCGAGACGGTGGTGGCTGCGCGGCGCTGAGAGCCCACTGACCGCCGACGGTGCGCATGCCAGAACGGCTCCTTGGATGTCACGTGCCGTTCGCACAGTCGGGAGCGTGTGGAGACCCCCCCGCCCGGAAAACAGCCCCGGCAGAACGAAGACGTGTCGGCGACTCTCCATGCGGTCCAGACGGAGGGTGTCCGCCGCCCGGCCACCCCTGCGGAGAGCAGGCCGGTCCAGGAAGCGGAGGGCTCCGCCCTCTGCCAGCACCCAACTCACTTCTCCACTGCACCCCTGACGCTCACGTCCGTGCCCGGCTCTAAGAGCAAGGAAGTTGACTTCGCCTGTTCATTTTTACTCGAGAACTCAGCTGAGCGGCTGACATCTGGGGCTCGAACGCCGTCTGTGCCGGCCGGTGCTGGCCTGGGGGTCACTGCCCACGGAGCGCCGGGGAAGGGAGGCGGCAGGGAAGGAGCGGCCGGGGGCTCACAAAGGCGGGCCTCGAGGGCCTGGTCTTCGCCTCTCGTTAGCAGCAGCCCTCCGGTCCTGAACCCTGCGAGCCTCTTTCCTCACGTGTGAGGTGGGCAGGACGCACAGTGTCCTGGGCTGCACACAGAGGGCGCTCAGCGGAAGCATCCTGGGCTGGACAGCTGTGGGGACGAAGGGGGCACCCCCCAAGCCCCAGCCTTGGCTGGTATCTTGGAGGGGAGCATGCCGTCGGGCCAAGTTCCGTCGCTCCCAGGTACGCCGGCCACTCACACTGGTCTTCACGTGGAGGGTGCTGGGGTCCGCTCCTCCCCCCCCACCCTGCCGATCACCTGTAGCAGCAGCAGCAGCGTCCGCGAGCACCTGGTAAACTCCTTCTGACCGCGATGGACAACGGACCTCTCACAGGTCAGGTCCTGACCCCGCGCGGCAGGAGTCACATGCAAATCGCAAAACTAGGCTCCGGCAAAACTCCAGAACCTGGGGAGCCCCACCTCCCCATGAACCCGAGACAGATCAGCCCTTGAACGTTAAGAAACAGCGAGAAAACACTCAGTTATGTTTCTGGGCGGGGGGGAGGAGCCCCAAAAGGCGGTCGAATACGTTAAGACGCCGGTTTTGCCACAGCCAGTGATGGTCGCTTCAGACACCGGGACACAGGTCCACTCCGCCATCCCCGGGCAGGTAAAGGCGTACCTCCCCCTCCAGGCTCCCGGGAGCCCTTTCTGCAGGATGGAGATGGAGGCGGCTTTGGCTCACCTCCAGGCAGCCAGGCCCGGCCCCCTCCCTCCAGTTTTCTCTTCCCAGAAGCCTCGCTGCTCTCCCAAGTCTGGCGCGGTGCCAGGAAAAGCAAACCACGTAAATGACACCCAGGGAACTGCTGGAGCCAGGGAGGGGCCCGAGGCAGGGCCCCCGCGAACCTCCCTCTGTCCGGCCCAGGAGGGGCCTGCTCCGGGGTGGGGGGCTGGGTGAGCCGTGGGGTCAGACAGGAAGTCGTGAGCACAGCCCACGGGCGTCTCCCAGGTTTATCCACAGAGCAGCACCGCACGGCACACTTGTGTTTGATTTCAAAACCCCTAGCGCTCTGGCCAATGCCTGGCCCAAAGAATGCCAGGAATGTGGATGCCTTTCTCCGGGTTTCACCGCCACCCAAACAGCCCGCAGCCTCCCAGCCAGGGGGCTGCACTTATAAGGCAAGACCTGCGCCCGCCCGCCTGCGCATCCAGGGCAGAAGTATTTTAAGTCTTCGGGACCTCCCTGCATGCGCTGGGACTGGCCCTGGGGCCAGAACACGGCCCCGCCCCCCGAATTCCTCACCTCCCTCCTCAAAGCCCCCAGGTCCCACCCTGAAGGCATCCGAACATTCCTTCTGTCCTAGAGCTCAGGCGGCTCCCTCCCGGCGAACAGAGACGTGGAGAAAGTCGGGACAACATCCAACCTTCTCCCCACCCCGCCCCCACCCCTGAGCAGGGGGCCGCGCGAGGAAAGAAGAGCCCGAAATAACTCCAGCGGCTCCCACTCGATCTGGAGTGGCTTTTCGCGCGGGAACGTGAGCCTCCGGGAAGCAGCCCGGAGCCGCTCCACTCTCACGCATGCCTGTGCCCACTCCCCGGCCTCGGCCTCGTGCAAACGTCCACGTTAATTCTGCCCACGCCCCTTTCGCCCGGGGGGGTGGGGGGTGGGGAAAGGGCTCTTCGTGGTCGTGGTTTTTAAACACAGGAAGGCTGGGACCCGTGAGGGAGGGGGCCTGGCGTAACTGACTTCACAAAAGGCAGCTTCCTCCCACTGCCAGGGAACAGCAAGGGTGGCCAAGAACACGGCCGAGAACGTTCTACCAGGATATCGTGTGCCCTCCTGCCCCCTCTCTCTGCCGCGGGTGCCAACCGCCGCCAGGTGCTCCGCAGGAGCCCCGCTGGGGCTTTTCCGTGTGGCAGTCTCTGCTGTTGTCCTCCCAGGGCGGACGCTGTCCCGGGGCCCAGGTGGGGTGGTGGGGGGGGGCCACCCAGAACAGCAGGGCCACCTGGGCTCCCTCTGGTCCCATCTCCGTGGTCACTGCGGGCCACCGCTCGGGAGCTCACGGCCTCTCACGCTGTAAGAACAGTCCCTTGTACACACACAACAGGGCAGCCAACCTGGGCTCCGCCCGGTTCTGGGTAGAGCGAGAACACTCCAGGGACGGCCGCGGGGGGGGAGGGGGGGAGCCGCAGAGGGGCCGGGTGCCCCGGTGACCTCTGACCTTCCTGTGAAGACGGGCTTCGAGGGAGAGGGTCGGGGGCCACTGGAAGCTTCCGCAGGCCGCTTCTCCCCCCTGCGCTGCGCTGCTCTGCTCGTGCATGGGGCTCGCCTCCCCACAGGTGCCTGTGCACCTCCGTCAGGACACAGCGGAGCACGCCCAGGGTGGGCGACTCGCTCCAACACCCCGAGTGCGTCACTCACCTGCCACAGGCCACCGGCTCCCGACGTCAGAGGCAACGTCCCGGGACCCGGCCTCCCGTCCCGCAGGGAAGGGGCGCGCTGCAAGACAGCAAGGGGACCGAGACTGAGCTGCGGGCTCACTCCGCGCCTGACCCCGCAGGTCCACTTTCCCTCCACGGCTCGTGCACACCCAGGGCAGCCGCACCCACACGGGCAGGCGAGGGCGGGGCGGACACCGCGAGGTGGCACCCACGTGCCCCTTCCAGCCCGCCTGCAGGACCCCATCCTAGAACTGGCCCCCCCGGCCCCACGCGGGGTGAAAAGGCAGCAGGACCCTTGTCTGCTCCCAGCTGCTGAGGACGGGCCTCCAGGGTGGGAGCTCCCGGGTCCCCAGGGGCTCTCCGCTGAGGCCGCAGGGCAGCCCCTCCCTTGCCGTGTGTCCCCTCGGGTCCCCGCAGACCTCCGGCACCGCGACCGTCCACCACCGAGGGACCCCCCGTCAGAGACGAGGGCTTTTTCTGTCGTTCCTTCCCCGGGGGGCACCGCCGCCCCCCACCTGCTGTTCCCTCCGCTGGCTGCAAACACCGGTGGTGTGAGCTCAGCAGCAGGAGGGTCTCGTCCGCTGAACCCTAAACACACACCCCGGCCACCTTCCGGGGTCCTGAGGAGGCGCCTGGTCAGAGTCCCAGGGCACTGACGGTGGCAAGCACAGAGCCCACGTCTGTGACAGATTCCCTAAACAAGTCTGACAATGACAAGAGAGGAGCGGCACTGCAGGTCACCCACCCCCGGTGTCCCCTCTAAGCGCCCTGCGTCGGGGCTGGCGTTCTGCACAGGGTCGCAGAGGGGCCCCGGGCTGGCCAGGGACCCCAGACCCGGTCGGGCTGGGAAGTGAAAATTCTGCTCTGGGCGCCTTCCCCACATCAAGGCCACTGGGGCCACCATGGGGGGGGGGGGCGGGGGCGTCCCCTCCGCCAGCACAGCCCCGATGACAGCCCACCCTCCACGTAAGTAAATGCTTCACACCCAATGAGAACGAGCACCCCGGGGAGGCCAGGGCGCCCCCCTCGACGCTGGGCTGGCTGGCTGGTTTCCAGGCCGCCATGTCCCTGGGGGTTTCAACAGTAAACGGATCCCAGACGCACAGAGAGGGGGGAGGCGGGAGGGGGGCAAGGACACACCCAGCAGGCAGGACCATCTCGCGTGGGTACAGTTCGCCCCGTGGTCCACGCACACCTCCCAAAGGTGCGGCGACGCGAGACGTCCCTCACGCAGGGGAGAGGGGCTGCCTCCCGGCCAGGGAACCCCACGGAAAAGGCAGCACCTCGAGGACACACATCCCGGCATGACAAGACATCGGGTCCCGAGGGAGGCGGGGAAGTGGGGGCTAGGGACAGGATGCTCCAGACACAGGACACGGGGCTGTCGTCCACCCATCACGCGTTTATTTTGGACGCGGCTGCCGGGCGGCTCACGGGTCCGCGGAAGACTCAGAGGGTTCTGCCGACTCCAGCATGTGCTCTACGTACACCCCTCACTTGTCGGTGGCCCTGGGTCAGCGTCCTCCCCCCTGCCCCCGGCCGGAGCTGGTCCCCGCTGCAGGGCCACACCTCTCAGGGCAGGGCCCGCACGGTTTCCCGACGTCAGCCGACACCCCCAAACTCTGTTTCCGGTCCCCACAACCTCCACACGGGCTCAGGGGCCCGATCCGCCCACCCGCCCGGCACAGCTCTTCATGGGGTGGAGGTGGACCGACTGCAGGGCGGCTCTGGGGCGAGTGGGAACGGAGAGGCCTGTTCCTCAGGTTTCCAAGCCGCCACGGACGCCGCGCACGGATCCCGAAGCTGAAGGGCCCCCACATCCTGCGCCTGCTCACTTCAGTGCTGGGGGTCTCTCCGGGGCAGGAATCGCCCCGCCCCCTGCGCATGTCCAAAAGCTCCACGGCAGAACGAGAGGGGAAAGCGGGACCCCATACATCAGCACCCTCTTCTGGAGGTGAACTTCGGCCCGTGTCCCATCCAGCGTGTCGCTGTGTCTCCGTGTGGCCTCCGCACACGGGGGACCCCCAACCCCCACACTGGATAAGGACCGGTTCCCGTGCACAGTGACGCTCAGGATGAACCTGGATTTCACGGCCTGGCCTCGGACCCTGGGTTGTTGGTGACTCACGAGGCAGAAACCCGAAGACGACCCGTCTACAAAATCAGGGACGTTTTTGGGTACACGGGCAGCGGCATTTATGTCTAACGCGGAAACGGCTCCTGGAGACAGTATTTTGGGACGCGGTGGATGACACGGTCATGTGAGCGTGGCTGGCACCTCCCCCCGGGTTCAGGTGGTGAAATTTTCTGACGCACAACACAGAACCGGTTCCCTTATCTCTCCTCTGGTGACCCGGCATCTCAAACTGGACAGCAGATGCGATGAGGCGCAGCCTCCCCTCCCTCCGGCACAGAGCGGGGCGCACCGAGGGGAGGGGCGCACCGAGGGGAGGGGCCCACTGAGCCGGCCAACCAGACGCTCACAGAGGCCTCACTGTGTGGGTGTCCCCTCCCTCCCCACACCTGCCGGCTCCTACCCGGGACCCGCCACGTACCCGGTCAGCGGTCTGGGTCCTTGTGCGGCCCGCGTGTCTGACCAAGCGTCCTCCCTGGGCGAGGCGTCCGTCTGTCTGGGTGGGAGGGGGGTGGCACCAGGTGTGAGCTGTGCCCTCTCGGGTATGCGGACGCCCACACCTGTGGCCCGAACACTGCTGTCCCCTCCTCCTCCTCCTCCCCCCGTGGGCCATGCCTTGTCACAGAGATTGTTATGTATCTAATTTTACACGAATGAGCGGCCCCAAGCCGCAAGGGAGACCAGAGCGGCTTCTACGACGAGCCGAGTGGAACATTCCAGAAAGACGAACAGTGGTGAACCATGAGCACGCCCCGGAGCACGGGCCGCCTCGAACCCCGGAGCAGGGAGGAGTGGAACTGGGGAACTCCGAGCTCAGCGTTCCTGCAGGGCCCTCGTGCTGCGGCTGGAGGCGACCTGGAAGTCAGAGGACGCGGGGGTGCTTGTTCGGTCACACGAGATGCCGCTGTGGCCTTGCACGACACCCAGCGACGGCCTCCACCCCATGTCAGGGAGACTGGGAGGTCAACACCCACTACGCTGTTTCTCTTTCTTGAAAAAACAAAAGGAAACAACACACAGACCGTTCTTCATCCAGCCTTGACGGGCTGCCCCGGCGCACTGACCGGCTGCTTCAGGGCTGCCCTGGCCAGACCCGGCTCCGGTTCTGGGCTCCAGCGGCGGGCGGGGCTCCGGGGCCAGGGTCCTGCCGATGGCCACTGCAGAGCTGACGAAGGACACCTTCCCGGGGAAGTCCTTGGACCTCCGGTTCTGACACAGGCCCCCGGCCTGTGACTACACAGGGGGTGGCCGGTGTCGGGAGCTGCCGAGGGAGTCCGGGTTAGGGGAGGCGGCCCAGGAAGGCGGGGCTTCCGAGATGACCCCGAGTCACCCGTCGGTTCCCAGGCAGCTCTGCCCTCGCCAGCTCCGGGCCCCGTGCGAAGTCCCCTACCTGGGCTCTGGGCCTCGGTTTCCTTGAGTGGAAAGCAGGGCCGCCCAGAGCATGCGAGAGTATCCCCACTTTACATGGCTTTTTCCTCTTCTCTGCCCCACCAGCCTGAGGGTCACGCTGAGGGCAGGCACCCTACCCTTTTTCCTCTTCCACAGATGCGAGGCCAGACACAGGGGGCCAACACATAGCAGGAGCCCCCCGGAACCCCCTACACCCGAGCACGGCAGTGGGTCTCAACATCTCGCAAGCAGACTCCTCGCCTGCTGGGCTCACTGAAACGAACTGCCAGTCTCTACGCCCAGAGGCGGGGAGGGGCCTGAGAATGAGCATTTCCCACTTGCTCCCAGGCGATGGTGATGCTGTTGGTCCCTGGACCACACGCTGGAAACCGCTGGTGTGGGTGCGTCAGCAAATGAGAGAACTCCAGCTCCGCGGTCTCAGGGGTGGACCGGTATCAAGAGGTGGGGAGCTGGGATCAACCCTCCTTGTGGCAGGCAAGGCCGGAGCCAGCGACCCTGATACACAGAATCACGGTCAAGTGCAAGGCAAACAAAGGGCGGCCGAGCAGGTTGCGGTGAGACAGGAAGTCTCCGCGGGAGGGAGTGCGATGCTGGACAGGGTCCCAGCGCCACCCTTCCTTCCTCCTCTCCTCCTTCCGTGACCGGAGTTACGAAGCCTCCCGAGAAGAAGGTCAAGATCCCGCCTGCACCAGACAGACGCAGGGAGTTTCTGGGTGGATCTCGGGAGAAGGCGCAAAGCCGACGGACCCCCAACAATCCGGTCTGAACACGGACTCCAACGCCGGCCCTGCCTCTGGCTGCCTCGACCGCCCGCCTGCCTCCTCAGCGACGGACGGGGTGGGCGGCGGTCAATCGATGCTGTCACCCGGGTCCCCCCCCGACACACGTGCGGCCCTCAAGGGCGGGCGGGTGCCTCTCTCCCCAAACCCCCAGCTGACCCTTCCTCGGAGTGCCCTCGCAGGGAGAGCCGTCCCCGAGCCGGACCACCAGCCACCTGACCTCTTGGATTCTCCCTCCTGGGGGTCAACTCTTCACCCCGGCCACCTCTCACCCTGGAAACGGTGAAAGGGGCCAGAGAAGGAAAAAGGCAACCCACCCAGGCTCACATGGGCCCTCCGAGCAGATCCGGATTCCCTCCCACGCCCGACTCACGCCAGACTGAGGCCCCCCAGGGGCCCCCTCCCCGCCGGGCTGTGCAAAGAAAGGGGGGACTCGGCCTCGGTCTGCGGCGCTGTCCGGACTGCAGAAACCCTCGCTGCTCAGAAACCCCGGCCAATGCGGTGCCGGGCGGCAGGGCAGGGCAGAACACCGACGTTACAACATCACCAGATGAGCCCTGGTCCCTTCCTGCATGTGCGCGGCGCAGGGCGGCCTCCCCGTCCTCAGACAGCCGGCCACGCCCCCACAGCGCACACGGACGCCGGGGCAGAAACAGAGCAACATTTCCTGAGTCCTGAGACCCGAACACAGTTACAAGAGGCGCATTCCGTCTTTCTAAATACTCCCCCCGAATG